ATTCACTGTTGATATCTCCATTGCTTCGAAACAAGATACATGTGTAGAAAACAGCGTAGGCACTGCTTTAAGTCACGTTCCAATGGACTGGCGATGACAGCACCAGGTGGGAAGCGTGCCAGTAGGAAACATGCTCGTTGGAACCATGCTCATGATAAAAGCTCTGGTTAAAAATGCACTGTCCGTGAATGCGGATTGGCTTTAGCACTCGAAGAACACGTATACAAGAGCCGGTTCGTCTTTGAAGAAGATTTGTCACGTAAACTTTTGGGATGACTTTGGTGGCGGACTTGTGTCGTGTCACCTGCTTGTTATTCATTTTAAAAAATAAAGTTGATCGAACAGCGATGCATCTCATACCCAAATGCAGAGGTGCTTCAACATTGGATAATGTAGATTACCGGATGGATACTCACCGCAGCAGATCCGCTTGATGGGTTGTTATGTTTGAATTCTTGACTTTCAGGCAGCATCCTCTCCGCTACTTTCACGGATCTGATGGCTTTCAGTCTATCGCATTTACTGAAATAGTCCGCCAAATATTCTGACTTGTCTTTGTTGAGTCGATAGTCGTTCTTCTCAAGCGTCATTTTCCATGCCTCCGTTGTTACTTCTGCTGCTCCCCTGCTTCCGCCTGCACAGCATAATCTCATCTGCATGGAACGTGCAGTATGGGGCTGCTTCCTGCAGATCCTTAGTTATCGCGTCTGTCATCATCGAGACAGAACAGAAATGGGCTCATTGCAGATCTTTGGTGAACTCCTACCTGCACAGGGAACTTTTCCCTTTCACTGCATACACTTCGAACTGTAATTGACACTCTGTCGAATGTCTGACATTTTTCTCGCATCAGATTCTTTTTTATGCCCCACAAAAAATTTCAGCGTCGGCATTCGATCAGAAGCTTTCACCAGGTTTAGGAACGTTATGTGAATATCTCTGATGTCGTCTCTCTGTGATTCGAGGAGTCGTTTTAAAGCCGTGGTTGATCGGCTTGGCATAAAGCCAAATTAGTTCGCGGTTATGTCGACCTCCTTCCTCGGTCTGTCAATGTCCTTTCGTATAGCTTCTTGTTGCGACTAAACAGTTTAATTCACCGATAGTTTTCACAGGCGAATGTGTCCCCGTTCGTTTTGTACACGGGCATCAAACTAATCTTCCTCCATGATTCCGGAAACTTCACATTCTATGATTTTATTAAATAGTGTACAGAGCAAGAGCACTATTTCTTGTCCGCCATTCATCCCTTTGGTTATATGGCACAACTCTGTCCGGGACAAGGACCTGTTTTTGATTCGGTCCAAAGGTTCCTCCATTTTGTCGGGTGAGGTTTTTTCGATTAATTCCTAGTTTATGCGATTTCTTTCGCGACCGATCTGAAATGCCCTTCGTTCAGTAGCGTATGAAACTGTCTTCGCTATCGATAGTGAATATTTTGCTGACCGGTTAGCGCCAATCCGTTTGCACATTTATGTACTTCAGTTTACCGATTCTCTTCTTCTTCTATGTCTAGCGTTTGTTATGCGATGGAAAACTTTTTTTTCGTTCCCTTGTTGTCAGTTTTTGGCATAAGGGATTGCACGCCGTAGACCTTGCTTTAGCGTTGATTTTTTTCACCTCCCTCTTCTCTATGGCATATTTTACTCTGTCTTCCATGCTGTG